AATGGTTTTGAATGGCATGTCGAGACTGTTTCTTACTGAAAATGTGTTAACCTAGATTGTGTTGACTTAGAGAAAGCGTATGTCCAGATCCCGCGCAATAGTCTGTGGCTATGCCTGTGAACATATGGGATCGATGGTCAGTTGCTAGGGGCTATCTATTCAATATATGCTCAGAGCAGGTGCTGCGTCAGAGTAAGTGGCGTTAAGCTTAACCATTCAACGTTGGCACTGCTCTCCGCCAAGGCTGCGCCCTGTCCCCTATCCTGTTTGTGTTGTATATGGAGAAAATAATCAGGAGCTGCCAAGCCGATGAGGGTATCGGTGTAGGAGATGTGAAGTCGAGAAGTTTGCTGCCTGCAGACGACCTTGTTTTATTAGCATCTTCTGAAACTGATCTTCAGTGCTCCTTAGAAAGTTTTGCAGCCGAGTGTGACGTGTCTGAAACGAAAGGCCTAGTACTTTTTTGTTCTCCTGGCCGTTGTGCTGTGCAGATAAACGGAGAAGCGGTGGAACAAGTGGAGAAACTCATGCTCATCAGACTCATGTGACTGGTAATAGGAGGAAGAAATCGATTAGCGAATTGGAATGGCCAGCGTCATTCTGTGTGAACTCTCCCAACTGTTGTGATTAAGTAGCGCTGAACCTGAAGACGAAACTCTTTACAGCTGGATTTTCATTCATTTATTTTGCTATGATCATGGGTCGTGAGCCATGACTGAGAAGCTTTGATCCCGGAAAAGCTTTGGAGTACAGCCGTTGCTTTCCTAGATGGAGAAGCCACAGCTGCAATAGTTTGGGCACGTCTTTGGAAAGCATCCAGAAACGAAGGCGAAACCGCTACTATCTGCTCATCCGACCGGTCAGATACCCCGGGATGAGCAGTTGTCTCGACGGACTGTGCTTCAGACTGGGGTTATGAAGCCGTTGCTGAAGCAAAAATGCTGGCACAGGATCGTGAACTTTTGAGACACTGTTTGACTCGTCTGCCTCCGCAACACGAAAGGATAAGCGATAATCGAGATTGATTGATTAACTGACCTTAAAATACCCGATTATGTAGGTTTGATTTAGGTCACTATTTCAGATGCGTGAGAGCGCTGTACGATTCTCAATAACCGAACCCTTTCCATGCATACCATGGCATATCCGAAGAGCCAGCTTAAAGTTTCGGAGACAATTTCAAATTATCAAAGAAGCGTTGTATTCATTCACTGTCACACTCTCTTCCATTGATGGTGCAACTCTATGAAAACTATTCCATATTAAACTCCACTATTTACATGTATCAGTAAGCTTCCTTTCCAGTATGCGCGGTTATTCTTTCCTTGGTTTCTCGTTACCTTGAATAAAACGGAACGGTGCGGAACGGCCTCCTCACTTGGCTTGACACATGTGTTCGCAGAGTGTATAACTGCAGCAAGAAGTCACCTCTCTGTAAATGAGTATTCAGCGAAAGGTTAAGTCTCTGTTTGAGAGAAGATCTGCCCATAAAGCATTGAAGTTATTTGTGGACGCAAAAAATGTACTGAAGTCGTTATCGACAGGGGAGCGATCCCGCATTTGTCCGGTGAACATCTGCTTACAGGAAATATCAGTGCTTTTCTTTACTCGTGCTGAACAGGAGAGGGTATAGGGATCTACGACTTCGTGTAAAGTCATATTATTGAACGCTACTTATAACAGAAGCATAATACGTTTGAGTTAATAAACGGTATTTGGGCTACAGCGATGGCAACGGCCATTTATATTTTGTAGCATTTTAACCGCAATACTTTCTTTCATAAACTCTAATTTCATGATCTTGTTGATGACAGGCTAAAGCCTACTTTCAGTTTATATTTAATGGCAATAAAAATTCTTTTTTGTATATAAAGCGAGCCTGTTTGAGCATTAAATAAATATTGGTTAGATTGGTTTATCGATCGGAGTTGCTCAGTCGGTAGAACGTCTGACTTAGCAAGAAAAACCGCTGGTTCAAAGAGGGGTTTCATCAGTTGCCTTTCTTCTCTCTGACGCTGATGGTTATATACATTCTTGTGGGAAGGAGACAAAAACTATAAACTAAGCTAGCTACGTACCTACTGTGCATTATTGCACTTTTGGCTGATGGCATGAAAATAGAAATCAGCGCCCTACCATTAACTTTATAAAAAGGGTACCAGAATTGATCCCAACGCGAAAATGTAGGGAATATTGGCCTTCCAACGGTTACAGATTTTTCTTTTCCTTTCCGTCTAATTTGGGTATGAGTTTCTTTTCTTTGTAGATTGGTATCTGTTTGACTAGTATTGGTTGCTGTTTATTCATTTTTCTTTGAATTGGGAAGGAATACCTCAGCAAAAGTATTAACAATAGTCAAATAATCGCTACTGCAGTTTCTTGCAGTTAAGGCTTGCGAAAACATGTCGAAACCAGGTAACTTCAAGGTTCACTGTGCTGAATAAACTCTATTTAGTAACGTAGCCGTTAAGAGACAACAGACATTTTGGTTTAGTTTAAAAGCAACGAAAACTATCTTATGAAGGGTCAGAAAGTGATATATAAACGTACTGGACGGTAGTTTATAATGCTCAAACCCTTCTACTACTTACTGAACAAGAGCTTTCTACTTGACCTCGATTGCAAACTTGCCAAGGATGTCACTCTCCGTTCTTTTGGCCCTGAGATAGGGAGCGTTTTAAAAGAAAATCATGTCCGATAGTCTCTCTTCTAACTTCTCTACCATTTGATAAAAGTGAATTACAGAATCTTCTTTGAATTACAGTGCTATTTATACATAAATCGAATTGACGTATGGCGCTAATTTTTTGAAAGGATGCGTAGCAAAGCTCATTCATTGTTTCTCAAAGGGTTGCTGTTACATAGTTCCCGGAAAAAATTC